ATTGGGGTGCATCCCCGGGCTCGGGGCACGCGGGCCCGGGCCCCGCCGCTGACGGACGGCCCCAGGCGCGCATTCCCGGCGGGTTTGCCCCGGGCTCGGCTCCCGCAGCTGCCGCCGGCCCGGGGCACGGCGCTGCCGCGGGGGCACGGCCCGGCAGCTGGGCGAGCCCCCGAGCCGGCCCGGAGCCGATTTTAGCCCCGGGGCAGCTATTCCGGGCTCTGCCCCGGGCGAAGGGGGCACCGAGGGGGTGCCCGAGCCCCTCCCCGCCCTCGGCGTGTCCCCGGAGGCGCTGGTGGCAGCGGTGATGCCACCCCGGGGTGGCACCCGCAGCGCTGCTCTGCTCCCCCGTGGGGATTTTGGGGTCCCTTGGGATTGTCCCCACCCTGAACCCCCCCTTGGCGACAGCCCCGGCGCTCCGGTGGCCCCAGCGGCTCATTTTGGGGAGGGGGAGCGGGGGCTGCCCGCGCCCCCTCCCGATGTATTTTTAGTCCTTTCCTTATAAGGTTCCCATGAATTTTGGGAGCTGGGAGAGGAATGAAGTCATCGCTGAGGTCATCCCGCCTCATCCCCCTCCCGGCTCACCCCACAGGGAGGTTTTTGTGTGGCCTCCATTGAAAGTTGCCTCGCCCAGGCCGGGAGGAAACAAAAACCCTTCCCTGGCTGGCGGGGGGCCCGGCTGCGGGGGGTGGGGGGCCCCCAAAGCTCCAGCCCCGGCAACAACGGGCAGCTCCCCCCGAGCCGTAGCCCCCCGGACCCCCCGCCCCCCTTTGCACCCCCCTGCTGCTCCTGCCCGTGCGAGGGCAGGGCGCTTCCATTGCTCTTTGCAGCCCCCGCGGTGCCCCAAATCTGCCGGTGTGTGCCCAGCTGGGGGTGGCACGGTGGGTGCTGCCCGTGGGGTCTGCAACACTCGGCTTGGGGCTGACAGAATTTGGGCTCAGGGGACCGAGCTGCAGCCCCAGCCAGGGCACTCATGGGGGGACCCAGGCACCCGTGTCCCCCCCAGGGTCATGTTTGGTCCTCCCAGGGTCATTTTTGGTCCCCCCAGGGTCATGTTTGGTCCTCCCAGGGTCATTTTTGGTCCCCCCAGGGTCATTTTTGGTCCCCCCAGGGCCATGTTTGGTCCCCCAGGGCCATGTTTGGTCCCCCAGGGCCATTTTTGGTCCCCCCAGGGCCATGCTGATCCTGTTGTGGTCACACAGGGCTGAGGAATGGTCCAGGTCCCACTGGGAACACTCTGGGATCCCACTGAGGACACGCTTTGTCCCATCAGGGACACCCTTCACCTCACTGGGGACATGCTGGGTGACATCAGGGACACATTCAGCTCTGTGGGGACACACTCAGTCCCTTTGGGGACACACTCAGACCCTTTGGGGACACACTCAAAGCCTTTGGGGACACACTCAGTCCCTTTGGGGACACTCAATCCCTTTGGGGACACATTTGGTCCCACCAGTGACACCCTTGCTCCTGCTGGGACACACTCAATCCCTTTGGGGACATTATCGGTCCCTTTTGGGACATTCTTGGTTCCATTTGGGACATTTTTGGCCCCGTTGGGGACATTCTTGGTCCCGCTGGGGACATTCTCAGTTCCTTTGGGGACATTCTCGGTCCTGCTGGGACACGCTCAATCCCTTTTGGGACATTCTCGGTCCTGCTGGGGACATTGTTGCTCCCGTTGAGGACATTCTCGGTCCCGTTGGGGACAATCTCAGTCCCGCTGGGGACATTCTCCATCCCGTTGGGGACATTCTCGGTCCCTTTTGGGACATTCTCGGTCCCTTTTGGGACATTCTCAGTCCCATTTGTGACATTCTCGGTTCCTTTTGGGACATTCTCGGTCCCTTTGGGGACATTCTCGGTCCCTTTTGGGACATTCTCAGTCCCGCTGGGGAGATTCTCCATCCCGTTGGGGACATTCTCAGTCCCATTTGTGACATTCTCGGTCCCTTTTGGGACATTCTCGGTCCCTTTGGGGACATTCTCCATCCCGTTGGGGACATTCTCAGTCCCATTTGTGACATTCTCGGTCCCTTTTGGGACATTCTCGGTCCCATTTGTGACATTCTCGGTCCCTTTTGGGACATTCTCAGTCCCGTTGGGGACATTCTCGGTCCCTTTGGGACATTCTCGGTCCCGTTGGGGACATTCTCCATCCCGTTGGGGACATTCTCGGTCCTGCTGGGGACATTGTTGCTCCCGTTGGGGACATTCTCGGTCCCTTTGGGGACATTCTCGGTCCCTTTGGGGACATTCTCGGTCCCTTTGGGGACATTCTCGATCCCTTTGGGGACATTCTCGGTCCTGCTGGGGACATTGTTGCTCCTGTTGGGGACATTCTCGGTCCCATTTGGGACATTCTCCATCCCGTTGGGGACATTCTCAGTCCCATTTGTGACATTCTCGGTCCCTTTGGGGACATTCTCGGTCCCATTTGGGACATTCTCGGTCCCTTCTGGGACATTCTCGGTCCCTTTGGGGACATTCTCCATCCCGTTGGGGACATTCTCCATCCTATTTGTGACATTCTCGGTCCCTTTTGGGACATTCTCGGTCCCGCTGGGGATCCCATCCTGCACAGCCCTTCCCAGCCCCGGATCCTCACCGGGGCTCTCCCCTGGCTGCAGATCCCAAAT